AAAAAAAAAAAAAAATGAGCGCATTTCCACGTAGGCATAGCAGGTCACCGTGACCTGCTGTAGGCGGTCAGAGGACCAAAAAGCTAATTTTTTTTTTTTCAGTTAGGAGAATATTTCTAAAAACGGTCCATTTACGGACCAAATTGAAAACGACCTGCAGATAAAGAACCAAAAAAATTTTTTTTCCCAAGTCGCTTGGAATCATAGGCCTATGAGGTCACCACAGCGGTGTTGAAGGGCCCAGCAGACCCGTTTCTACTGGAACGGGGTATTTAATTTGAACATTTTAAGACTTTTAAGAGATTGATGTATATATTTCAAAAAGTCTTAATAAGTTACAAGATATTTAACTTATTCGATGTTGAGATTTACCAAGAGTTTTAAAGATTTGCTAAGATTTTAAAAACAAAAACTAATATGAATTTCACCTCCAGTTTGTGTTCATTTGGAATTTTTCAAAATTTGTGGGACTTTAAAGAGGTTATTGAAAATGATATATAGTTAAAAATATGTGAGTAGATGAATAGTGAATTAAAGTTAATGTGATATGTGGGGATGTTTGATTGATATTATTTAATTATATTGATAATATTGAGGGGAGGTGTTGGATTAATTTTGAGTTGGATTTTAAGTTAAATAGTCCAAAACAATTATTTGATTGGTCAAACCCGATCTTAAATGTGGTCAAACCCGATTTTAAATGTAGTCAATCACATCCTAAGAATCCTGTTGTATTTACTAATTTGAATTTTTTAAGATTTTTAAAAGACATGAGATGTTGTTTTGAGATTTGAAAAAATTTTAACGAATCATAACTTATTACTAGTACAACGCCCGTGTATTACACGGGTGCTTGCTAATTTTTTCTTAAAATCTAAAATTGATGAGAAAAAGTATATGAAAATTTCAATACCTTTTATAAAAATATATATATTATTATATATTTAGTATGACAATTTTTTATTTGTGCGACTTATTTGTTTAATATTATAATATTTTTTTGACTTACAACATATAACTACATTAAACCTAAATATATCAATTGAGAAATAATTTTATTTTTCTAATGAATTTTAATAAGTATGATTATTTTTATTATTATAAAGATAAATATGATTTATTTATTTCATATATACAATATGGATGTCAAATCGAAGATCATCGAAAGATGATTAATTTGATATATTATATATGTAAAACCGATAAAAAATACAAAAGTTATCAATTTTTAAAATACATTTACAATTCAATAGCTAATTGAAGGAAACAAATCAAAAGTCAGGGATATATTAGTGTCTCACTATGTAAAATTACAAAGAATTAAAGGGTTATATTAGTAAAAGTGATATTAAAATACTAAGTTAGCTAAAGAATATTTATGGAATGTTCGAACTTAGATTATTAATTATTAATATATCAATATTATTTGTCCAAACCTAATTACGAAGCATGATTCTTCGTCAAGTAGGATTGCGAAGCAACAGAAACAACTACGTAGGCTCATCGCATTCGGAAATAATATATAGGGAGAAAAGATTTGACACGCAAAGACTTTCTAATATTTGTTGAGATTTCATAACTAAAAAAGATTATACAAAGTCTCAAAATTTTCAAAGATTCCTCTTCAATTTTAAAATTTTAAAAAATCTTGAATCTCAAGTTTTTTTAAAATTTCTCCTAAAATAAATACACTTTGCAATTTCCAATAATCTTCTTAAATTTCAAAATTAAAAAAAAAATATTAAATATTTTAAAAAGTCTGATTATTATATCTTTTAAAATTCAAAACAAATACAGTAATGCACCCCTCTATTAGTGAGGTGAAAAATCAAGTGAAAACCCACTACCCTGACCCAGACGGGAGCCCCAATTTCTCCTTCCACCGTCAAAAATGTCCGCCGCCGCATCCCAACCCGATCCGTCGTCTGGATCCATCGACCCCCTCTTCCACGCCGTCCGGATCCTCCCGTTCTCCTTCCTCCGCCCCCCGCGCCTCCGCCTGAAGCTGCCCAGCTTCACCCTCCCTTCTCCAATGACAGTCTACGCCCTCATCCTCCTCACCTACTTCATGGTCGTCTCGGGAATCGTCTACGACGTCATCGTCGAGCCACCCGGCATCGGATCCACGCAGGATCCGTACACCGGGGCCGTCCGGCCCGTCGTCTTCCTCCAGGGCCGGGTCAACGGGCAGTACATCATCGAGGGCCTCTCGTCCGGATTCATGTTCGTGCTCGGCGGGCTTGGGATCGTGATGCTGGACCTGGCGCTTGACAAGAATCGGGCCAAGAGTGTCAAGGTATCGTATGCCACGGCCGGGGTCACGTTCGTCGTGATCTCTTATGTTATGAGTATGCTCTTTGTTCGCATTAAGATACCTGGTTATCTTCGCTGATTTTTACTTATTTTAGTCTAAATTCTCCTTTTTTTGGAGACTGAGAGGATTGATTTACTCGTTTTACTAATGTATGACTCTGTTGTTGCTGCTTCGATATACAATTATATGGATTAGAAGGATAATTGCAATGTGTGAAATTTGGTTCTTGATGGTCACATTGCTTGAAGTTTTTTTTTTTTTTTTTATGAGTTTTGTGGTGTGAGATGGAACTCCTTGCAGTGATTGAGTGTTGGATTTAGGAAACCACTTGCATAATTAGGTGTGAGGGACTGTGATGTGATACCATCTTTGCCGGCTAGTTTTGAATTGCCCGGAGTTATAAATTCGAAGTAGAAAGGACTGCTATGATATTTTGGCATACGTCAATTGAATTTAGTATATATTCCATGGGAATCTTGCCCTCTCATGTTGAATTTCAAGACTTTCATACTTGGGCCTGTGGGATATCAGATGTGTATTTGCTATGGGATTTTAGTCAATTTCATGACTCAGCTGATTTTTCCCCCAAGGACATGAAGAAGACAGTGACGTACTTTAAGCTTGAAATACATTTTGGTCATGAGTCGTTATTGCAGAATTGAAATATAGTTGAGAAAGAAATTTTGAGAAGGGTTTGTTGTATGAGCCCAGTACTTGTTACATTTCATAACCTATGATCTTAGTATCTCATGCTCGTTTATTGCTTGATAATAAAGGTCAATAAATTAGTCCCGACTTTTTTGCTGTTCTGAGCCACTTAAGAGAGTAGGTAGCCATTTCTATTTCTGTTTTATTCCCTTTTTTCTTGAAACCCTTGATAAATGTATGTATATATGTTTTTATTGTACTTGTAAGGAAGTAGCTGCCACCCCTAATTTCAGGCTACTACCTCCGACTTAATGTTTAAGAATTGTGTTGTGCCTGCTTTTTGCTTCACTAAATTCATGTATCATGAGGATGTGTGTAGACAATCACCCTTCTTATATATTTAGTTGTTTTCGGTTGAGACTATATACACATTTCACTCTGTAGAATGACTGAGGTCCCTCCTCAATGTGGCTGACCCTGTTTTGACTGTGGCTTGGTAGTCTTAAGTCGTGGTAGGTTGAGTAAAAAGTAGTTTGCTGCTCAATTAGTTGTAGGATTCAAGAGATTGTAGCTGAGACTGAGCTGTGCTGAACTTTTTTCCTTCTCTTTTTTGGTCTGAATTGTGTCCATTGCTATTTAAATAGCAACAGAAAAATGATACTGAAGCACATGATGAGAAACAATAGTCTATAGTCTTTCAAATTGTAATGTGTTAAGGCATAGGGTTTGGAGTTTGGGTTACGTTAATTTTGATCGACCAAATTGTTCGAGCGAACATAGAAAATAATTAGATGAGTGTTGACCAAATTGATTTTGTCACGGTGTAACACTTCCGATCTCGTTCTTTTTGGTTAACTCGTCCCAAAGTGTGGTGGGCTGGTGGCATACATCTAATATATTGGCTGAAATGAAATTTATTTTGTAGGGGAGGTAATAAATTTTGTTTCAAAATAATGTTGAGGAGTGAACAAAATGTGTCCAACTAAAACATAATAATGAAACTTAGTGTCAAACTTGCTAGTATATCAATTGAGCTTGAACTTTGAAGTCGGGGTAATTATAAATCGAATTGAGGTGAAGAAAATTTTAATTGAATGGAAAAGCATCTTGAATTTTGATCTCAATTTATTTTCCGAACATCATTGGGTATTTATTCTCAAAACAGCACCAATCCAGGCAGCACACAAATGACACCCTTTTTTTTAGTCTAGGAACTCAGGAATCAGGATCGGACAATTGTGGTTGAATTTCAGGCTCAATCCCTCATATGTATGTAGGATAAGCACAAGAATCATTTATAGATACTAGATCTGACTACTACCACCCAAAATTAACAGCTCCCGTGAATCTCTGTAATATAAAGCCATTGCACAACAAAATCCTTGACGAAGATGGAATTTCATATTAATCACGATGTACTATAAATGAAGAGAAATTGCTCTCACATCTATACTTCTCTCAAGCCTCTCTAGATTTCTCTTTTGTCATCACGTCACCTTCTTGCATTTCTTATCTCTTTCTCTTTTCTTGTTCACCTCCTTGCGTGTTGTTATCTCTTTTTCTTCTTGTTCACCTCCTTGCCTCTCTCTCTCTCTCTCTCTCTCTCTC